TAAAAAATCCCAGAAATGCCTTTAAATACAATTTTATACCCCAAAACATAGTGCCAATTGAATAATTAGTGCTAAATTTTATTCATTTTTTTTCAAAAAAGTATTATTAGAATAAATAAAATAATTGAAAACTCACAGACACATGTCAAAGAATCCTCTTTTCCACCACACTTCCTACTTCCGGGGCCGCAGGTTTTACGCGGTATCTCGCGATACTGCTGCACCTATGTTGCAGTTGCTGTGAGTTTTTTTTATAGATTTAAGATTATAGATTTAAGATTTTTTTAAGATTTATTTTATACATAAAATAGGTGTAAATGTAGCCATACATTTCATAGCCTTAAAGGCATTTACGAAAGTAGAAACACTTATTAGATATTGAGGCAGAAACCTTGCTTGGGGGCTAATTTCCCTGAACAAAACACTTTTCACCAAATCCATGATATTCCAGCGTGTAAAAGAGGATGTGAATTTGTGTTGTAATCAATGTAGTAACTTCCAGGATCATTAAAGTTAAAATGTTTAAATTCAGGTGACAAATAACTCGCAAAAATATAAATGTAATCATGGTATGACTCGAATACTTGGCGATAAGTCGACGTTTTCAACTTTACATTGGTTACGTGAACGCCCCTTTAAGGCGTCATACGGGTACTTTACACACCCAAAGTTGCCAGATCTGTAAAATATTATATTTTTTACTTGTTTTACATGGGCCCCTGCGTAAATATAAACACAGGGGACCGTGAAAATCTGGACCCCTGAGTCAAAAATAACTATTACCTATTTTCGTATCTTTCAATTTTTTGCATTTTGATGACCATATTTTCCTATTTTTATATATACATCAACGAGGGCTGGTTATATCTGTAACACATGTTTGGTTGGTATTTCACCATTATCACAATGACCACTTCTTGTTGTTTTGCTATAATAAAAAAGATCTCTTCTCAAAAAAGGAAATACAAAACATGTTTTGACATTCCACTACAATTAAAATACTAACCGTAATAATTAATATTTATATATTTTCGATCCCTTTAGCACTTCAACGACTTAATTTAACTTTTGATCTAATAGGGGGATACTGTGACGTCAATTTGGCAACCCTTTCGGGGCAGTTCACGAGGTTCTCCCTTTTCAGCCAGCACCTCAACGGCGAGTGAGTGCGTGGCTTGGATGGACTGGTGAAATTTGTCAAAATTTTACTTGAGTCAGTCTGCTTGGAGTTTATTTAAAACGCCACCGACATGCCGGCGTATTTTCAACGTCCAGAAAATGCTCTTAAACGGGCGAATGGTGAGTGAAAATGGACGTAATACTTTACAGATGTCTGACACTCATGCTAAACTGCGCTTAGCTCAGTAGCGTAGCAGCAGTTAGCTTGCCAAGACCGACATTCTATTCACTCCAATGAGTAGTTAGCCTGGCTAAATGCTAAGACTAGCCGGAATGGCGGGGAAGCAGTAGGCTTTTATGTCTCGCACGTAGCTAATCTGGTACACCATTGTTACGGCACATATTTCACATTTAAATTATTATTTGTTAGATAAAGTACATGTGTCTTGTCTGTAAAATATCCGTTACCTACTGTCAGAGCACGATTGTCTTGAGTTTCTGGCCTAATTTTGTCAGGTGGATCTACAGTTAAGGACAACATTTACAGCCATTGTGAGAAAATTACGTATTTGAACGTAACTATCAACTGACTTTTTTTTACCAGCAATTCTTAAATATAATACAAATCCCCAAAAATTATATTATTAGTCAACTAATTACCATTTATGCCTGCTAGCAATCATAAAAAGGAAAGTGAAGTACCTGTTATTGTGACACCGCTGCACACAACGAAATGTGACCTCTGTTTTTAACCCATCGCCAAAGTGTACAGTGGGCAGCTTTAAGTGCCCGGGGAGCAGTGTGTGGGGACGGTGCCACTGCCTGATTGCTGTAATTTTAACCATAAACAGTCCCTTGTCTTCAGTTCACTTCACAGGTTTTTATTTAATAGAATGTAAGTCAAAGCGTTGTGTAGTCCAGATGGTAACATTCAATGTAACTGTTAATCACTAGTTTAATTGAATACTTTAAATACTAGTAATTGTAAATTGTCAGCGCTGTTATTCTTGAGTTGCAAGACCCAGGGCCTAGTTTTTTTTCTTGTTGTAGATTTTTGAAAGCCTTATGTTTTTCTTATTGGAATCCAAAATGTAAAAAACTTTATTTGTAATGTTTGTTAATGTCATTGATTGGTATCACTGTAACTCATTTATTCAGAGTTTCTTGAGGTTGGTAAGAAGCAACCAGCCTTGGATGTTTTGTACGATGTCATCAAGAGCAAGAAACATCGAACATGGCAGAAGATCCACGAGCCCATTATGCTCAAGTACCTGGAGCTCTGTGTGGATCTTCGCAAGAGCCACCTGGCCAAGGAGGGACTTTACCAGTACAAGAACATCTGTCAGCAGGTGTGTGAAGAAAAGCCTATGACATGTCTAGCAATCTCTTAATTGTATTTACTTCAGTCTTCTGTGAAAATAAATGTGCTTCTGCTCATAGGTGAACATCAAGTCTTTGGAAGATGTGGTTAGAGCTTACCTAAAACTGGCTGAGGAGAAGACTGAGACTGCAAAGGAGGAGTCCCAGCAGATGGTTCTAGACATTGAGGATCTTGACAACATCCAGACCCCGGAAAGGTTAGGTTCACTTTGGGTGTTAAAGGTCATGAATTAATAATTCTTTATAATAATAATACATTTTATTTCATAGGTGCCTTTCTGTCAAATGTTTTGTATTGTATTGTAGGCCTTATGACGTCTGCTGCTATGAACAATATAACACCACCTTTAACCAAAGAAATGGCAACTTAATTGAACAGACTTTGTTGGTGGACGCATTTAGAGTTTTTAGTGTTTTCCTTCTATGTAGATGACATTTTAGGTACTCGCATGTCAATAGCTTCACTCTTTTAACTGTAAATTATTGCATCAGTATCAGGTTGTGTAATTAAAGCCTTTGCTGTGACTCCAGTGTGCTCCTGAGTGCTGTGAGTGGAGAGGACACCCAAGATCGTACTGATCGACTGTTGCTCACTCCCTGGGTGAAGTTCCTGTGGGAGTCGTACCGCCAGTGCCTGGACCTGCTTCGGAACAACTCCAAAGTAGAGAGACTGTACCATGACATCGCTCAGCAAGGTAGTGAGACAAGTTGGATACCTCTATTTGCAATATTGTTTTTGACTAGATAAGTTCATTGTGTGTGTGTGTATATTTTGTTTATTACCTTTTATTTATTTGTTCTGCAGCATTTAAGTTTTGCCTGCAGTACACCCGCAAGGCTGAGTTTCGCAAGCTCTGTGACAACCTGCGGATGCATCTTGGGCAAATCCAACGTCACCACAACCAAAGCACCGCCATCAACCTGAACAACCCTGAGAGCCAGTCCATGCACTTGGAGACACGCCTTGTGCAGTTGGACAGTGCTATAAGCATGGAGCTCTGGCAGGTCTGTCCTTGAACACAGACAGTTTAGTTCCTGTGGTTAGAGAGAGTCAAACTTTTAAATGATTGGCTTACCCACGAAAACTTATTTCTTTTGTTTTTTTAGGAAGCATTTAAGGCTGTTGAAGACATCCACGGCCTATTTGCACTTTCCAAGAAGCCCCCTAAACCTCAGTTGATGGCCAACTATTACAACAAGGTGTCAACTGTGTTCTGGAAATCTGGAAATGCTCTTTTTCACGCCTGTACCCTCCACCGCCTCTACAACCTGTCCAGGGAGATGCGTAAAAATCTGAGCCAAGATGAAATGCAGAGGTACTGTATTTCTCAAAATATCTCAAAGCAACAAAACAGGATTCACTATGCAAATAAAAATGGGTTATGTTGGTGTTAATATTACACACATTTCTCACTCTCAGAATGGCAACCAGAGTTCTTTTGGCTACACTGTCCATTCCCATCACCCCTGAGCGCACTGACATTGCTCGCCTGCTGGATATGGATGGCATCATTGTGGAGAAACACCGAAGACTGGCGACACTTTTGGCCCTCCAGTCTCCACCCACCCGTCAGAGTCTCATAAATGACATGGTAAAATTTACAGCAAAAGAAAGATTTTAAGTGTAACAATATTCTATTACTTAATCTAATGTACATTCATATATTTTTAGGTGAGATTTAATTTACTGCAGTACATTGTACCTGAAGTGAAGGAACTTTACAACTGGCTGGAGGTCGAATTTCATCCTCTGAAACTGTGTGGAAGAGTGACCAAGGTAGATGACAGCAATGCAGATATCTGTGAGATTTCTGTTACGTTCAAACTAGGAATTTAAACACCTTTTGTCCAACCAGGTGTTGAACTGGGTGAGAGACCAGGCAGAGAAGGAAGCTGATCTGCAGCAGTATGTTCCCCATCTGCAGAGTAATACCATTCTGAGACTCCTGCAGCAGGTAGGTTTTTATCTATGATCTGCGCCTGAAAAACATATCTGTATCCTATCCACACCTAAATCAAAAAGACCACTGATGACATCATTCTGACTTAAGGTGGCACAGATCTATCAAAGCATCGAGTTCACCCGCCTGGCCTCCCTGGTACCATTTGTTGATGCTTTCCAGCTGGAGCGCTCCATTGTTGATGCTGCTCGCCACTGTGATCTACAGGTGAGATTCAGACATGGAAGGTTACTATTTTAAGTTTTGCAGAAAATACATTTCCTTAATTTTGTTTTTTGTTGATCTTTGTACTTTTTCTTGCAGGTCCGCATAGACCATAGCTCTAGAACTCTAAGCTTCGGCTCTGACCTGAACTATTCCACCAAAGAGGACGCTCCTGTTGGCCCCTTCCTTCAGAACATGCCCTCGGCGCATATAAGGAACCAGCTGACTGCAATGTCATCCTCTTTGGCCAAAGCCATCTATATCATCAAGCCTGCCTCCATCCTGGTGAGTTTATTCAGTGTAAAAAATGCAGGATTGTTTTTTATGATACAAACCTAATGTGGTGACTTTTTTTGAGTTTTCTTTTGTCCTCACCTGATGTTCTTAGTCTCTCAAAGATTAATCACACTTGGGGCATAATATGTACGAAACCTTTATACAGAAATGTAATCAGAAGGAAATCATACAGTGTATAAAATTGTGAGCATGCCAGCTACAGCATATGCAGCAGTGCCTCTCACCATTGTTTCTCCTAATACCCTCAAACTTTTAAGTTTCCCTTTATAAGTGAAAACATTTTTTTTTCTTACAGCAAGAACGTGAGGAACATAGCCAGCAGGCCATCGCTGCCTACCTAAAAAATGCCCGCAAGGACCACCAGCGCATCCTGGCTCGCAGACAGACCATTGAGGAGCGCAAGGAGCGTTTGGAAAGCCTAAACATCCAGCGTGAGAAAGAGGAATTGGAACAGCGTGAAGCTGAGTTGCAGAAAGTACGTAAGGCTGAAGAGGAGCGTCTGCGTCAGGAGGCCAAGGAGAGGGAGAAGGAACGCATCATGCAGGAGCACGAGCAGATCAAGAAGAAGACGGTGCGAGAACGACTGGAGCAGATTAAAAAGACTGAACTCGGAGCTAAGGCTTTTAAGGACATTGATATTGAGGTAAAACTGGTGACGATGTCATGTCAACATTTTGGCTGCAATGGGTTTTTATGATGCTCTTGAGAACATAAGAGTAATCAATGTGTTCTTATAGAACTTGGAGGAGCTGGATCCTGACTTCATCATGGCCAAACAGGTGGAGCAGCTGGAGAAGGAGAAGAAAGAGCTGCAGGAGCGCCTGAAAAACCAGGAGAAAAAGGCAAGTGACGAAGGCAGACGTAGTTAACGTCTTTTACACAGGGATTAATTGAATTTTATTTCTCTTTAGATCGATTACTTTGAGAGAGCCAAGCGTCTCGAAGAGATTCCTCTCATCAAAAATGCTTACGAGGAGCAGCGTGTCAAGGACATGGAACTGTGGGAGCTTCAGGAGGAAGAGAGGGTTAGCTTTTTAATGCAAGATAAGTCAAAGACCCTTTTCATAAATTAAAGGGAAACTAAATGTTTTTTCCCTCTTATTCTAGATCAGCAACTTGAAAGTAGAACGGGAGAAGGCTCTGGAGCATAAGAAACGCATGTCCAGAATGATGGAGGACAAAGAGAAGTTCTTGGCTGATATAACTGCTGCCCGTAGCTTCATTTATGAGGTAACCCAACGATCGATTAAAGGCGGAAGCAGTGAAGCAAAAGAAACCCCACTATATAATCATTTTGTGACATAAAGATGAAAACCTCCACTAGATAAAAATGTGACTTAACTGACAGAAAAAGAAACAAACATTATCTAGACTTTCTCCTGTCATTGCTTACTAGTTTTCAAGTGACAAAATAATTGGTTTCATGTGCGATTAGGAAAAACTGAAAGCCTTCGAGGAGCGTTTGGTCGAGTTGAGGAAGAAACGTCTGGAAGAAAGAAAGCGACAGCGCAAAGAGGACAGGCGTAATGCTTTCTACCTGCAGAAGGAGGAGGAGGCTCAGCGTATCCGTGAGGAGCAGCTGAAGAGAGGTGATGTCTGTTTGCACATATTTGGATAAAGCTGCATGAATAGGCTCGGTCTAAATTGTCAACTTTCTGGCAGTTTCTACTGGTTTCTTTGTCATTGAATACATACATTTTTTCCATTTTACAGAACGCGAGGAGCGTGAACGCATTGAACAAGAGCAGAGGGAGGCGGAGGAGAGAGAGTACCAGGAGCGTCTGCGCAAGCTCGAAGAGCAGGAGCGTAAGCAGCGTGCTCGGCAGCAGGAAATTGTGGAGGGTGAGCGCCGCCGTGAAGAGGAAAGAAAGGGAGCGCCAGAGGAAAGGCCCAAGGTATGATATATTCTGACTGTTTTAACGAGCAGTAGTCATAATGTGTTTTGCTGGAACAGAAAACTTAAAAAATAAATCAAAGTAGGAAAGTGTTCAGGTTAATTGACACATCAGATACATCTATAAAATGCTGCAGATGTCAATGAAGCTCCACTGGACTGTTGCTGTAAGTGTAGTGACATGTTTGTATTTTGCTGAAGCAGGAAGCAGCAAGTGGTGAAAAGGAAGAGGGAGGATGGAGGAGGCGCACAGAGGGAGGAGATTCAGAATGGCGTCGTTCAGTGCCAGACAAGTATATTTTAGTTTTTTTTTCTTCCTGTTATTATTTAACTGTTTATTGAACCAGTAGAGGCCACTGTAACGCTGTCTTTGTTTTCTCTCTCTTCAGGGATTGGAGACAAGAAGGCCAGGATGAAGACGGGGAGGACAGGGACACATCCTTCAGGCGTGGGGATGGTCCTCGCAGAGGTGGTGATGACAGAGGACCTCGTCGGGGCTACGACGATGATCGAGGTCCCCGTCGAGGGGGTGATGACGATCGTCCTCCACGTAGAGGAATGGATGATGACCGTGGTCCTCGCAGAGGCTTTGATGATGACCGTGGACCGAGAAGAGGAGGAGATGATGATCGTGGTCCCAGGAGAGGTGGAGACGATGATCGTGGCCCAAGGCGTGGTTTTGATGATGATCGTGCGCCAAGGCGTGGTTTTGACGATGATCGTGGACCAAGACGTGGCTTTGATGATGACAGAGGTCCAAGGCGTGGCTTTGATGAAGACAGAGGTCCTCGTAGAGGTGTGGATGACTCCAGAGGGACCAGACGTGGTGCTGATGATGACTGGGGTCCCCGCAGAGGAGGGGACGATGACAGAGGTGGACGGAGAGGCATGGATGATGGGCCACGCCGGGGCGGAGATGATGCTAAACCATGGAGACCCGTGGGCAAAACTGGTAAGGATTTTGAACAGACAGGCTGAGATTTCTTAGATTTCTTTTTCTTTTTTTTTTACATAAAGTCTAGTTCAGTAGGTTAATGGACCAGTTCTATTGTAGAAGGGGGATGGCGTGAACGAGAGAAGGCCAGAGAGGAGAGCTGGGGACCTCCTCGTAGTGGTGGTGATGAAGATGAAGAAGGAGAAGAAAAATCAGACAGTTTCAGAGACCGTCGTCCAACCAGGTGGGTCTACATAGACCTGCGTACGAAGATAATATTGTTTTGGATAAATGAGCATTAGTAAATTTCACTGTTGTATTTAGGGAGGAGGGTGTCTGGAGGAGAGGAGGTGGAGACGAAGGAAGCAGCTGGAGAGAATCCCGCAGAGAAGAACCTGATCGTGAAGATCGTCGTGATAGACGTGACCGCGGTGAGCGTGATGACCGTCGTGATCGTGATGATCGCCGTGTGGATCGTCGTGATAGAGAGCCCCGGGATGAGCGTGAGAACAGAGGCCCACCCAGAGATCCTGAAGAAGGTGAGCAGAGCACTGTTGAAGATGTTAGACAATGTTGTCCAATAACAAGTCAGTGACAACACTATTGTGTCATCAGAATTGTCAGTGTGACTTAAATTTAGCATGTCAGTCTGATAAACTACATAAACTGGATTAATGCACTGCCAACATTTTTTTTAAATCAACATATCATGTACGTCTTGTTCTTAGCAGGTGGCTCGTGGCGACGTGGTGGTGAAGAAAAACGAGAGGAGAAGGACAGGGACCGGCCCAGAGAGAGGGAACGTGACCGTGAGGCCGAAGGTGACAGGGCATGGCGCTCTGACAAAGAAACTCCTCGTCGCACCAAAAATGAGACGGATGACGACGGCTGGACCACTGTCCGCCGCTGAGCAACAGCTGCATTCATCTTTAATAACAAGTCACTTCCCACTTAGCAGCAAGTGAATTCATAATTAAATCGTCAGTGTGTTACTGCTTTGGATTAAATTGTCTGGAAAATTCTTTCTTTTAGCTTTATTTTGCTTTGCAACAGTTTTGAATTGGAGCCTCTTCGCCACCTATAACACCAGTAGACAAGTCTGCACTTGGGCCTGAAATTAGTTGTAATCACGACTGGGCCATGGTGGTTACAATTATTAACTAAAATAAATGTATACAATTTAAACTTTCCCTGCTAGCTAGGTGTGACATTAAATCCCTCTCTTATAACTCTTATACTGATCTTCTGCATCCTGGATATGTGCCCTACATCCTAATTTGGGAAACTCTCCTCATGGCTCCACAGACCTTTCTTTTAGATCTGTGTGCTTCAGTATTCTTGTGTAATATCTAACATTTCATCCTGTAGCACTCAGTGTGACCAGACGAGGTTGCACTTGTTCAGATGAAATCTTACTAATAAAGATGTTTGCTCACCATTGTGTTTCCTCATTGACGGTGCTTCACTATGACAAAAGTACAACAGAAGGTAAAATGACAATCTGACACCATTAAAGACTGGAAACTTAATCATAGTCAGCAGGATTTAGCTGTAGTGAAGTGCGTTTAAAATTTAAATTGACAATGAAGGGTAACATGCAATCATGGTGATCCAACTGGTGACTTTAGCTTAATAAGTATATAATGTTAATAAGTAACAAAAACCATATCTGATAATGTCAATATCAATACAAGCAAGTAGGACTATAGTCTTACTCTTACAAAAAAAGTCCCTAAATGCAAGTTTATGGCCCAAAACATGCTGTCAAGTGAATAATTTGTGCTAAAATCTGCAAAAAATATTTTATCTGAATATTTCAAAAATATCACCAAAACATGCCTTACTATATAGCCTTACTATCATGAAAAAATGCAAAAAAATAAAACATCCCAGAAATGCCTTTAAATACAAGTTTATGCCCCCAAACATGTTGCCATGTGAATAATCTGTGCTGAAAACTCCCCAAAAATATTTTTATGAATATAACAAAATACTTTTTTTCTGAACATGTCTAAATATACCATAGACAAGTAAGACAAAAAGTAAAAATGCAAAATAAATAAATAAAAAGTCCTATGTAAAAATGCAACATGCCATTGATGCAACATATACCACAGTTGCAACGGGGAATAAATTATTTAAATAAATTTCACATGATACCTCCTGTGATACCCCCACTTCCTCAATATCTCTTGAAGCTCTTACAGCGTTACATGTTTGCTGCCACTAGAGGTCAGTGAAGCACCGTGGGAGGCCAGTAGCGAACACAGGATGATTTTTTTTTTCTTCTATCGTGTCTCTGAAAACCTACAGGAAATATTCACAGGTTTTCACTGGTCATGGTCTTGGCAAGAACGTTTTTAATATGAATATGAATTATAAATGTAAAATAAAATAAAAAGTACCGAGGAACTACTATCATCGTATTACTAATGCTACTACTACTAATAGTAATAATAATAATAACAAATATTATTGTTAATATTATTATTATAGTAAGGGTACAATTAAAATATTTACACGTTAATATTTGTACAAATATCACAAAGGAGAAGTAAATAATAGTTTAGTAGTTTCGGTAGATTCATAAAAGCCGAGTATAAATTGCCGTTTGATGTAGAACACGTTTTACACATGGTTTCAGTTCAAAGTCTATAATAAGCTATAACTCAAATTTAACAAATTATACTAATATTTGTTAAATTGTCTGATCAAATTATCTGATAAAAGCCATCACCACCACCATCACAACAACAACAATAATGATAATACCACTGCTACTACTACTACTACTGATACACGCTTTGCAATTTTGTCAGAGAAAAAACGAACTAGCCAACTGCTCTTCTGACTAAAGGGAATAAATTAAACGTGATGCTTTCGCCATGGTGCCGCCACTGTTAACGGTACCGGGCGGGTCGATGTTGTTGTTGAAGGCCACGGCTGCGTGAACGCGGTTCAAGGCACTGTAGATGAGGTCCACTGATCATATTTGACTTTCAAATACCGCGACAGTGGGAACGTGGAATGGTCTCGCTCAACTCCTGACAGTTTCAGTTGTCCTGTTTCCAAACAATGGGCCGGGACCCACTGATGCACCATGATAATAGATTTTTGTGGCCACCAAATAGTATTAAATGGGGAAATCGCGTTATAAATATAGTTAAAAGAAAAATCAACTTTAAATCAAGAAATATAGTAAAGTAGCAAGAATTCAGTTTAGTCTATTTTAACAAGACCTATAAAAGGACTGATTATATTATTTTATTTGAATTTTATTATATATTTAACTTTTTATCATAATAACATCTGAATTATAAACACCTGGAAAATGCCTAATCTCTACATTGCAAAGTCCGACTTTCAGGTTTTTTTTATACAAACCAGACTGCAGGCCAAAGACCACTTAAAAATAATAATATAAAAAATATATTTTGTTTTGGTAATATATTCATGGGAACAGTATTACAAAATAGTTCATCGTTTTAAAAAAATATAATTATATTAATTATTGGATCAAGGTGGTTGATTAACACTGTTTATTGTAGCTAGTTATTTAACAAGCAATTTTGGCTTAGGCTTCTTTGTACATACCGTTCAAGCACGCACGCGCATTCACACATACGTGCATTCATAAGGCATTTAAGTCCAAAATGAACCTCACAAACGAGAATAATAATTACTGTATTGTAATAATGATAATAATAAAAGTAACAATAACAGTAATGACATCAACAGATTTCAGGACTTGAACCCATCAGGTAATCCGTGTGACATGCGGTGATAATGAATGTGCTGATGGTTGTGTCGGTGTGATGTTGGTGCCACATGGTTGTGCATCATTATAAACAATAAAAAGCCTCCCTCCCTGCCTCCCCCTCTGTGGTCTCAAACCTGCGTCCATCAGGCCTTACGGAGAAATAAACAGGCCACCACCAGCTTCTCTGCTGCTTCAATCCACTCTTTCTGCTGAACGTCCTGCAGATCCGCGTGTGCGTGTACGCGTGCGTGAGGGGGCCTCCTCCCTGGACGAATCCGTTCCATGTTGCGCGCTCGAGTCCGCCTCTCCGCGCCCCTGCTTACTCGTTGACGCACTTTTTAAGCGTCTTCCCACTTCGCCACCTTAAGGCGAGCAGCAGCAGCAGCAGCAGCAGCGGCAGCAGCAGCAGCAGCAGTGGTATAGAGGCAGAGGCAGCGACCAATCACCATGTCATTCCAGTCTACAGAGGAAGCTGTTTATGGGGCTGCAGCGCTAATTATCCTCATGAACTAACAAATCTGCCTGCACCGAGCCGCCGAGGACAACATCCCATCCATGGATTAGTCTGGAAGCAGCTTCTTTCGTTTCTGGGCCTTTTTCTCCACTCTCTCTCTCTGTGTCCGACCTCCACCTCCTTTATTTCACCCACTTTATTCCACAAACTTTGTCACTGCACTTCTAGCCGGGTGTGGAGTATTTTTCTTCAAAGTCACAGCGCACCGGCGGCTTCGACTTAAACTGGGGAACCTGGACTTTCAGACAATGTTCCAACCCACACCTAAGAGGTGTTTTACGATAGAGTCTTTAGTGGCCAAGGATAATCCGGTCCCTTCGTCCCGCTCCGAGGAGCCCATCAGGCCGGCGGCTCTCAGCTATGCAAACTCCGGACAGATGAACCCCTTCCTGAACGGCTTTCACTCCGGCGGCAGGGGCGTCTACTCCAACCCGGACTTGGTGTTCGCGGAGGCGGTGTCTCATCCGCCCAACTCCGCGGTCCCTGTGCATCCCGTGGCGCCGCCGCACGCTCTGGCCGCGCACCCGCTGTCCTCCTCACACAGTCCGCACCCTCTGTTTGCCGGCCAGCAAAGAGACCCCTCAACTTTCTACCCCTGGTTATTACACAGATATAGATACTTGGGACACAGGTTCCAAGGTAAGACATCCACAAGTGCTGCCTGCTTCGTTTTTGGTTCACTTTTACGCACGGATTTTAAACAGCGGCTGCAGAGTTAGGACAAATTGTTGGGTTTATTTTACCCTACAGACTCACTTTAAATTCAGTAAAAATCCATACTGCGAACACGATAATGTAGCAGCAGTGTAATTGTTTTGAGTAAATCTTGGATAAATAATTATATCTTTGGCTCGTCTTGCCTTCAGTGTCTCGATAAAGAGCACTGGCATTTCTGACATGTTTGTACACAGTTAGTCTGGAGGTTATTAATAGCACATGATCTACACTCAATACTTCAAAACCCAAAGAAAATACTCCACTGCTCTGTGGTTGCCTTTTAATTACACTGGCCTGACACGTCAAGCGTGGAGACGTGGTTTCATATTTAAATGCATTCAATTAAATTGTGTTTAATCTCACCGACCGGTATTTTTTCAAGTCAAGCAGAGGTCAAATGAATAGGTAAAAAAAAAACAAAACAATTTATTAGATAAAATATCTCGACATAAGACAAAAATGAGAGAAAAAATCCGTCGATTGTACTTTTGCCTTTGTTTGCTCGTTTTATGTAATTAAATTCTCATATTTTTCCGACAAATTAAAAAAATAACCTAATGTTAATTTATCTCTAAATAAAGTGATGTTTCCGGTTAGTTTTAATTTTTTAAAACAATTATAAATGTGAGATAATTAATTCGATTCCACATCATTTGCTCTGCTTGGTTTTATGTCCTCGTGTCGCCCCTGCAGTGCTGTGGTAAACCGTAGATTTACAAATCGACATAATAAAGTAATTAACATGATTTTTGGGAAGGTAATCAATCAGCTTCATTGACTCATGCCCAGCTTCTTTTCTTTATTTTGTCACTGTGCCATGTTGGCAGCCTTGGGCTCGTTATTGCGCACTTGTGCGCAGGCCGATGTGATATTTAGGGTGAGAAAAAATAAAAACATACATAAATACATAAAAAAAACCTAACTATTGTTGGGATTTAAATACAATAAAAATGCAGTCATAACAAAGCCTGAATTTATGTTGGTTTTCAGGTAATGAAACGAGTCCGGAGAGCTTCCTATTGCACAACGCGCTGGCCCGAAAACCCAAAAGAATCCGCACAGCCTTTTCACCGTCACAACTGCTGCGGCTCGAACACGCGTTCGAGAAAAACCATTACGTAGTGGGAGCAGAGAGGAAACAGCTCGCCCACAGCCTTAGTCTCACGGAAACTCAGGTAAGAGGCTTTACGCATTTTATTATTCTCTGTTTTTTTCTTCTTCAGTAAATTATTCTAGCAGCCACTGTCTTTGTTTATTTCATTTTCCACCCGTTTCTTTTTTTGCTCGGTTCGTTGCGTGATGCCGTGTCTGTTGGAGCATTTGAACTTCACAGGTCTTTTTATTAGGGACATAAAAACACATTTCTCACATCATGGCTGATGTGTTGGAGTTTGTTTGAAATTGAAATATTTTCCAGGTGTTTTAAAACGAGTTTCCCTTCTAAATTAACTGGCTTCCAGTTCGTAAAAACAACCAAAGTAAAAATAAAATAACAATAATTTTATAGTTAATGAGATTTGTTTTTTACACGAGTCCGTGAACTCTCCCTGATGTCGGTGAAAGACCGTCTCTCTGTTAGATCAGATCCACCGTCATTGTTCGGGCCCTAACCTCATTTCAGGAGGGCTTGGATTACTCTGTTTTGGAGGGGGTGGATGTGGGGGGGGGGGGGGGGGGGGGGGGGTCGCCTTTCAAAATGGAGGGCAAATTAACCAGTTAACCATTTTTATGGGATAACGCGACACAAAGAGCGAGGCGGGTGCTCAGCGGATTCCCCCTCTGCCGTATATTTAAGATGCAGTTTGAGGCCCGTGAGCCACTGCTGCCCATTGTCCGCCCTGTCACCCTTCAGACCGGCGGGGCCTGTGGAGAAGAAGGAGCCGCAGGGAGAATTGAACCATCACCTACTTCAATTAGCGAACTGAAGGCCTATTAAACGCACCTCAGTTGTCATTTAAAGGCTAAAAGAGGGCAGAGCCGGAGCAGAGAATTCATCCATTTAGATGTTGTTGTTAATCCCACACGGTCGCTTTCATTATCAGCTGATTCCATTCACAGCAGTGTGTGGACGTGTGTGTATGTGTGTGTGTGAGAGAGTTTTTTTTTTAAAACACGCAGTCAGAGATACTGAGGAACAAGATGCAGCCACACACTTCAGGAGAAAAGTCCAGACACTGTACACGAACCGATGTTTGAGTCTGTGCTTCAGAATAAGAGCAGTTCAACCACATACAACACAACACCAGTCACAGCTAATTAGAAATAAGGGAGTGAGGTTGTTTTTTTTATTTTTACCCTGTTACCCTATTTAAAAAAAACATTTTATCTTTTTTTATTTGGTTTGCATCCATTATTTTCTAAAATATGCACAAAATTAAAAAAAATGCTTTAAAAAAACAAACAAATTCGGGGCTTGGATCAAATGATAAAATTGAAATTTTTTAAAAAAAAATCGAAGTTATTAAAAACGTAGATGAATATATTCTGATCAAAAGACCCTTCTTTCGTATTTTTATCGAATTTCAGTACGCAAAAAACAGGACAATAAACTTATTGATTATTTGACCGGTATGATTACAGCTAATTAGATTATCTGATAAATAAAACAAATACTCGTTAAACTACAAAGTAGATCCTTCACGTGTACTGCTTTTATTGCATTTGAATTTTTTAGAAAATGTTCACAGGTCCAGATGAATGTTTTAATTTGCATTTCAGTGTTTTAAAAAATCACGATGGTATTACGATTAATGTGGAAAATTTATAATTTGTCCTAATTCTGTTTGTTTGGATTAATTGTGCCAAATAACAGGGCACGCCTCTCAGAATTTGCCAAACAATTTAAACTGGCAGATACAGTTCAATAGATCGTTTCAAGGTAATTATTTAAGTTCAATATAGAAACAGGAGAAACTGTGGTCTGTAAACTGTCCGTCTGTGGTTTGTAGACATATATTTAAGAAAATGTTCACAAATCTAGAAGGGCAAAAAAAAAAAAAGAAAAAAAAAAGAAATAGAATACCTGATATTATCTTCATTAATTAAATATCTAAAAAATGCTCCTCAGTCTTCGGCTCTAGCTCGAATGTAGCATTGGAGGAAACGCATTAAATCACCAGGACTGAATGCTGGTGAATGAAACAACATTTGTATAAAATAAACCCGGTATTTGTTCCAAAAAATATTTCAAGTAATATTATCTCCCCAAAGCTCCTGAGTTCACCGTGGTTCTGTTCGCCCCTCTCTGCTCTCCCTGCTGTCCTGCTTGTATTTAGCTCCTCTGTCCAAACAATGCTTTCCTTTTACGCACGGTTTTACGCACAGGCCATTAGCGGTTTATCTCGTGATACTGATCCAGTTTCTCCTTTTCCTCCTCCTCCTTCCTTTCTGTTCTATTCTTTTCCTTTCTTTTATTTTCTGCCTCACTTTTTTTTAACCCTCTCGCAGGTAAAAGTGTGGTTTCAGAACAGGAGGACGAAGTTCAAGCGGCAGAAGTTGGAGGAGGAGGGTTCGGAGTCTCAGCAGAAGAAGAAGGGATCGCATCACATAAACCGGTGGAGAATGGCGACCAAACAGGGGAGCCCGGAGGAGATTGATGTCACCTCGGACGATTAAAATCAAAAACACGAGACTATAATCATAATGATAATATAATCGCCCGAGTGAAGGGGGACACGAGAGGGCAACAAAAGCCAACGTCACATTTCAGATCTGCGGAGTTCGGCAGCTGAGGGAGGTAGAAACCCGGACTGGTGGCAACTGCTGTCACCAAAAATGGAAAATGCCCCATCACCACCACCACCACTACTACTGCAACCCAGCATTTTCCACCTCGAACCATTACTTTCCTCCAATCCATACTGGACACTTTGCACTTCAGAAGTATCCCTTTTTATATAAAAGAAGAAGAAGAAGAAAAAACTTTCCTCTGAAGAAAACCAAAACACCAAACTGCTTTTGTAAAACATGAAATGCATGGAATAGTCCCCCCCCCCCCCTTTCCCGGTAGTTGTTTTAATTTGACGTTTAAAGTTTTCTCCGACCAAGAGGAAAAAGAAAAAAAAGTTTCTAAGTCTATTTTCCAACAGAGAGGTGTCGTGCTTCTTCATTTTTACCAAGTGTGCAGTCTTTCATTCATGATTCTCGTGTAAAAGTGATTGTGGAAAAAAAATGAAGTAGCGGTGCTGCGTTTTAGTGGTTTTTTAATTAAGAAAGGGAAAAACGAAAAAAAGGGACTTTGCCGTTTTTGAATCAAATCTGAGGAGAAAGGAGAAATATCAGGACATTCCTTTGAGCCAAAGCTTTACCGACCTTCTGTCAGGACAGTCGAAGTTGCCACGAAGGACTAAAAAACAAGAATTAAGGAAAAAAAAAAGATAAAAAAAAATAACTTCAAGCACTGAGCGTATTCCATGTACAGAAATGCTACGAGTCAATGTTTGTGTTGGACCCTCTTTTCACAGAATGTAAATAATTCTTTGTGTTTGTGTTAAGTTTGCTACAATTTTAACACAAAGTATACTTCCAAGAAGTATGTTAATGTCAATATTTTGTCAATAAAGTTTTATCAATATGTTGCGCGCAGTTAAAGTATTAGACTTTTGATTTTAACAGTACTAGTAAAACAATTAGAGAAGGAGTTTGTTCCCAAATTCTGGGTTGGGGCCCATAGATGGGACGTAGGGAGATTTTTTTTTCGACGCAAAATAAGCAAATTGTTAATTTATCAAATGAAATATTTATTTAAGGCTGCTGACTTGGCTATTTAAAAAATGAAAAACGACAGAAAAATTTAACATTTGCGCTTCACTGATGTTTCATCCAAACTACCAACCGAAATTCCATGTCGTTTTTGTTCATAACAGTTAATAACAGGTTTTAAATTTATTGTATCAATATTTTAAAGGGGATAAAACGGGAATAATTTATTGTGTTGAGACACTACGCATTTCTGTCAAATCTGTGAATTTTCCGCTCTTTGCTCTGCGCATTTATAACGAATTACTGGCATTTTGGTTCAAATAATCCTGAATTAAGTTACTTTTTTTCTTCGATACACTCACATTTTCTGAAGCGCATGGATACAAACCAACTAACACCGGGTCACAAACATTTCTTCAGCTAAGACTGTGTTGTAAAATACTCTTAGGATAATATCATCAATGACAAATGTGTTGTTTCGTATGATCCAGAATTACACTTTACAAATTGAGCGTGAAAAGTTGAGGAATAACTCTCCCAGCGCTTCTGCCCCATCCACAAAGAGTCTCCTCCAGCTTTTGTGAAGGTGCAAATCAGTTTGGGCAATTATCCTGCGCGTAATATGCGGGTGAGAGGGCGAGAGAGAAATAGAGAGGGCGAGAGAGAAATAGAGAGGGCGAGAGAGAGAGGGGGGGGGACGGGGGACGGGGGGAGCGCATTGCCCAGTGGTCCACTTTAATCTCTTAATCCACGCACCCATTGGGGCTCGGTTGGACATAATTTAGTACAATCTGACTACCCCTCTCGATGCGATAAGGACTGGGTTGCAGTGTGGCCGCAAAAAGGGATCTTTGTTTAAAATCTTGTCCATTTCTGCTGCTTCACCCGGAGCACTGAAGTGTAGAACTTCTTCTAGAGCGGCCGTTAGATGTTATTTAAAGCAGGATTTTATTTTCTTCATTTACATAAACAGATCACAAGCGAAACACCGAACGCGTGCAGATTATGTTTTAAATCTAACAAAATTTAAACGGGATTACGTCTAATGCCAATTTACGAGCGAAAAAAAAAACCCAGTTATTTTGTCTGTTGCAAGGTGCATGTTTTTGTTTTATTGTTTCATCAACCAAAAACAGCTGTTCTGTGGGTTGGTTGGAGGGGAATTCTTAATCGGCCCATAGATTATAACAGCAATAAAAATCTTCAGAGAATACCATTAGCTTTGAGGAGGAAAAAAAAAACTAAAAAGCTTTATTACAAACCCAGCTTTGAAATAGGGGGGATTAGGGGCCTGAAAGGGTCCCACAATAGTTAGAAGAAAAGGTTTCATGCTAATGAGGTTAATGCCCTTTGTATCTCCGGACTCCACAACTTCATTACTCCTATCTCGGGCAACACGGAGCGGCTCAGAGCCTCACAATCCACTCGAGCTTTCCCCGTCCCTAACCCTATAAAGAAGGATTTGATAGCAGTCCTGTTCAAACTAGATAATTATATCTTTTCAAGTTGGAATTAAGATAAAGAAAGTGCAGTGGAGGCGGTGAGCCTTGATCCGTCGCAAACAAATTTGGCGCATTCTGCGACCCCCCCATTCCCCCCCCCCCACGGAGGGGAGAGAGTTAGAGCCTTAGATTTATTCAAACCTTATATTTTAACCTGTAATTATCTGCTTTTATTTCAGTTTATTTTTTTATAGCGCAATTAAAAAACCGACAGGTGAACAGGCCAGAGACGTGTTTGTCAGTCTACTCTGACCGCGCACGTAAAAAAATAAAATAAAATAAATAAAAACTTTTAGTTATTCCGTAAATTCTACATTTATTGATGGAAAAAAATCCCGCTGTGCGCGTGTACGGCAGATTTCACCCAACGAGCTTGACTGTTTTTGTGCGTCTTAAAAATTTAACCCGCTCTTCTGTTCAGATCCCATTAAAGAGCGATCAAGCGCAAATAAGGTCACATGAATTTAATTGGTTTGGACAGAATTCAAACCCTGTCTGTGTGAGTGTGACTGTGTCTGAGTGTGTAAGTGTGTGTGCGGGTGTTTTAGTGTAGACTGGGCCCCGTGTGTGTGTGTATGTGTGTGTGTTTTTTCTTCACACCACACACTCCTTGCTGCGCGTAAAAGGGCCGTGGATGTTGGACCTCTCCTGACCCGCTTATCCAAACTGAAGCTGCTGTGCTTCGGCCTCCGTCCTCGGGGCCGCGGGCCCCCACCGCTGTCTGAGAACCGTCAACTCCACTAGAACCAGCACCAGAACCAGCACGGACATGGTCTGGACACACGGCAGCGCCTGTTGTACATTAAACATTTAACCTGCGACGTGAAATGATTATCCGTCATTGAAAAGAGTAGTCCGTCCTATCAAATAACCCCACTGACCCAAAACCTCTAATCTGCAATTAGTAGGTCTAATGACGTCCTGTGACAGCACTAATGTGAATGGAGGATGAAGGAAGGAATTAACTCAGAGTCAATAATTGATCGGCTGAAGTGGCTCCTGAAAGGACGCATGGCTTTGGGTAGTTTGTCAACAGCAGACAGCATCTCCTCCGGCTGCTGGAGGTGGAGGTGGTGGTGGAGGTGGTATAGCTGTAGGCCCAGCCCTGTCACACTGCCACATCATGGACTAACTTGATCTGTCCTG